CGTACGGCCATGGCTATTGCTGCAAAGAAGAACTTCGATCAACGAGGGAGAGACCCAAAGAAACGAAAGCGAAACAACTCTGAGACGGCCGTTGTTTAGTGCAGATGCAGTAAATGTATCCTACCACACGCAGTATTTCAATTTGATACTAACCTCCGTAGGTAATCAAAATGATGCTTATTCGATCGATGTGTCATTAATCTGAAACTCTACCTTAAAACTAGTTTTTAAGCATCTTCTGCTACAAACCAAGAGAAACAGATAGCACCACTGAAACCGCACGCTAATTTTACCCCTAGACAACCAAAAAAAGTTTTTCGAGTTTTTGGTCTGGGAAGGGAGATATTTTTTTCGAGAGCTCACATCTTGATATCTATCAACTCCTGGAAGCCGTGCGGGGTCTCAAAAGAAAGAAGAGATCCCCCTCTTCACGTAGAGATGCCTAAATCGCGATTCGTACCTAGGTTGATTAGCATTCTTTTGTTTGACGCTGTCTCAGATGTAGTTATCATTGTTGGTATAATTCATATCGTTCGTAAGCTTTATTAAAATGATTAATTAGTGAATGGTATCAGGCATACTAAGACTGAATAGTGCGCCATGTACGGGTTCACATGTACCTATTGTAGCGCCGCATGCTTACCGATATATTTTTCAGCTTGAACGGTCTTCCATGTGGTAGCGCAGTTATTGGGACACGCCGTATTTGTGGCGTAATACTGATCAAGTCATATCATCCACACGAAAACCCAGCAGTATTGTCGTCTGCTTGCTAAGACATCGCACACCCAAGAAAATAGCTTTGGTGTCAAGCTTGGCTTACGGCATCTACCCCATCTGTTGTTCCTGTTCTGTCCAATCAATTTTTACGATTCGCTGACTGAGCATCTTATGAAAGTAAACATAAGAACATCTGGCAACAACTTTGTAAGCATTTTCGTTATACTATTCACATTAAAAATATCGCCAACAATACAGTTTAGCATTACATTATATATATATAAATATATATATTTTTTTCCTCCTTTTTATCGTCGTCGTCTTAACATCTGTTTGATCCATTACTTCCAACTTTCAATGGCATATACACAATTACAATCTGTGACTTGTGCAAATGGGACACTCTCTTTCTGCTGGTGGGAGAGCTTGGCGTCAAATGGCGCTGTTGGGTTAACCACGTCTTGTCGCGGACTAATTTATTGTCTGCCATCACTTTTCCTTTATTCTGTTCTGTGCGCAGTCGAAACATCACTAATCAATATCAACCTCTTCCTCTCATCATGAGTACCGTTGCCATCTCTGCTACATTAACACATACAACTCCTAGCCTCGCGAATAAGCAAAGCTGGCACTCGAGCAATGATCTCAGCGCGCGACGCTCCGTTCTACTGCATATTCTGATGTTGCTCAAGTCCAAATACGGCAAAATCGATTCCAAAATTTCACTTATTGGACGTCGAGCTGAGCTTGCTCTGTACAATCAAGCGTTCTCAGTGTGGGAGTACCATAACCCCCACACACTCGGTCGTCGATTATACTCACTTGTACTCAAGCTCCACTTGAACAACCTCACAATCATTGAAGACGCAGCTTTCACCAATGAGATGACCGACAGTGCGCTATCTCGCAAGCGAAAACGTAGCTCGAAAGAGGATTTTTCGACTAGAAAACATATTCAGTCGAGAAACAGCGCTCTGATAACCAGCCCGCTCTTTTTTGACGGCAACCACGATCTTCAGCGTCACGTGTGCTCATTTTTGGATGCTCGGGACGTGCTTCAGTGGGCAGCAACATGTTCCGTAGCTGCTATGCAGCTCCCAGCGCTTGTAACAACTATTAACGTAACAACTGTGGCGATGATGAAAATTTCTCCTTCCATTCGTTCGAGCTTTTTCCGACGCTTTTCGAATCTCGAAAAGTTTTTATTATCAGGTCAGGTACAAGCACAACAGTTAAACTACCAGGACGAAGAGATTCTTGTTGCTCGCAATGTGTTGGTTCGGAGTTTGCTTCATGCTCTAGCCACATCTCAATTGCCAAAGCTTACTGAATTTTCGCTCTCCTATTGCTACTCTGAAGGGCTCGAGAGCCATGTGACACGTCAGGTTGCATCCGTGTTACTTGGTCCCTCGAGCAATTTTCCACGACTACAAACGTTGTCTCTCAAGGGTAATTGTATCTCGGACGATGGTGTCCTGGATCTCTATAATGTCATTGAATTTTCAAGGCCTGGTAAATCCTGTCTAGCTTTGTTGGATCTTTCAGATAATTTTCTCGGTGAGCGCGGCCACATTCTGATGCAGGAGTTGGTGACGCGATTTGAGAGGCGCGAATCTTCTCTGGTTGTTAACGTATTGAATAATCTTTTAGCGTCAGCATGTAACGTTGACGAAGTATCTGAGAGGCGTACTAGATAAATTTTAGCCTTACAACATTTAATTGAGCAGATCTAAGTAACATTATTGTATTTTAAAGTCTGAACGATGAGAACTCACTACCTTTTAGATTTCCATGACGAAAATTGGTCGCACTCCACAGATGGAGCTTTCGATATATTTTCAAAAAGACTCGAAAATTGCTCAGATGCTTGTGTTATTCATCTGATCCTTGTAAACACACTGTAAATTGCTAGAGATATTGTAACGAAACGGACGCCGTACACGATATATTTTCGCGCTTGAATTCCGCCGACCTTTCAATGTTATAGTGCTAGCAGTCGTGTTTTTAAGCCACCAAGACCAAGCCCACAATGCGTGGCAACTACGGTACTGAGCTTCATTTTTTGTGAGATTTGGACAATAACAACTGACAGTCAGATAGATGTTTGGTTTCGAGCAAATACTCCAGAGCATTACGACAAACTTTTACGGGGTGAGCGACCATTGGTCGAGCTGACGATGCGCCAGCTTTGCGTTCGATCACTTCGATTATGCAAGCAGCTTCCAAATTCGCCAATCACTTGGTTGTTTCTCGTTCTGCTTGGTTCCATGGCTGCAGCTTACGCGTAAGTTCACAGAATAAACATCTTAACTGTAAGATCATATTGATTCAACTATTTGTGGGTCTGTAGTTTGCTGGTCGATAATTGGGTTCGGACACTCTTTCGATTTCGACGTGTTATTATCGAATCGGTAGGGACGGACTCTTTCGCGGGTTTTCTGTGTTGGTTAGGCTGGTGTACCACACTCGCCATGCTTGCAAGTTACTGTGGTTATTTTATCTCTCCAGCATCAGACGGCTCTGGGATTCCTGTGATGCGTGCATTGTTCGCAGGAGTTTATCAAAATCCGGGGGATATGTTATCGTTTCGAACTCTTGTAGCAAAGTCCCTGAGCACTGTCATTGTCTCGGGTAGTGGGCTCTCTGTTGGTCGAGCTGGACCATTTACCCATCTGATGGCTATGATAGGTTTCCTTATGAGTAAATTAGCGTTGTTTCGACGAGTGAACTTTGGCCAAGAAAACTACAACTTTATTCGAGCTGGTACGTCTAAATGCTGTAATGCAAGACATTGTCTCGCTTAATTAACGATGAAATTATCGTAGCTGTCGCATGTGGAACAACCGCGAACTTTGGTGCTCCATTGGGTGGCTTGTTGTTCAGCATTGAAGTTACAGCCAAATATTACGAGATCAAGTGTTTGTGGGAAGGCATCATATGTTCCTCTGTTTGTATCTTGGTATTCAACGTGATTACTTTTCTCAAACGTGAAGTGCTTTTTGAGCGCACCACTTTCCCTGGCTTCGACATGGATTACGAAATTTTTGCCTTTGTGCTACTCGGAGTGGTCACTGGCGTACGTAGTTATATAGAAGTTTTTGAAGCTTTGAGATGACTAATTCCGTCGATTTTAGATTGGTGCTGGGATTTTTTGTCGTCTTGCTGTGGTTCTTCGATGGGCCCAGATGAAGCTTTTTGCCAAGTTTGGACTGAATGGACCGTCGTTAAAGCGCCGAACAGTCCACATCGTCACTATTTGTTTCGTTTCAACAATATTGACTTATCCTCTGGGTATCATGCGTTTATCTGATCGATCGATTGTGAATGAGGTTTTTCGCGACCAACAATTAAGCTTTCCACAATGGAAACAGATCTCTGAATACCCGCAAGTGACACTTTTCGTCTACATCATTGTGAAATTCCTCATCTCTTTATTGCCTTGTGGAGCTCCGATCTCAGTTGGAGTCTTTGGTCCATTATTTGCAATTGGCGCTGCCGTAGGTCGACTATATGGAGAAACTCTTATGAGGTATTGGAATCCGACCCAGTCGCCGGCAACGTATGCGGTAGTGGGGGCCGCTTGCTTTGCAGCTTCAGCTACCCGAACAGTGTCAACCGCAGTTATTTTCTTTGAGCTCACGTCGCAATTGAGTCACATGGTTCCTGTCATGACGGCGTGCACAGTGGCCTATTTAGTCTGCGGTGCCATCTCACCCTCCATTTATGACATTTTGGCCGGATGGGCGGGTCTACATTCAGTTTGTTACGACTTGAACGAGCATGTGCTGAGTCAAAAGGTGGCAGTGGATTATATGAGTCCAGTGTCGGTATTTTTCACAAGAGAGACAACTTACGATGAGGCCATTCAGGCTCTGGTAAGCTTATATTCAACTTTTCACAAGAGGTGCATGATGTGTTGATGGTTTCTTAGAACACTCACAAAAAGGAAGAGTACTTCCCGTTGTGCGATGGCGCTGATTCACAAATGCTCATTGTACGAACCATCATAAGTATTCTGACAGCTAAATTATGCTTAAAGGTGTATGGCTGCAATTTATGTAGGGATGTATTCGACGCTATGATCTTGAGATTGCAGTTGCTCGATTCATTGCAGCTCATCGTAAACAGGCACGTAACACTTTACTATCGCTTTTAAGGAATCAAAGTTGTAACGATTGAGCTTATTTATGAAGATGCCTGATGCCAAAAACCCATATGTGTCATTGAGAATCCAAAATTTGGTGTCGAATATACTTGACATTGACAAGAAGAAAAGTGCTATGGTAGAAGACTATTCCCTCGTTGACTTTCAGCCAAAAGACGCTACTTCCCTATCAAATCCAGTAAGGATAGTTCAATTTTGGGTTTAAATAATCTATGGCAGCACTCACACTATATTCAATGGATTATCAGCTGGAATTAGGTCCACCGTTTCAGGAGTACATGTTTACTTCGGTTCCCGTTGAGAGTTATCCACCTCAGGTAGGCGCATTATGATCATGTATCCTAGTTTTAAACTGTCTAAGAAAAGCTATACTACGAAATAGGTTTCCGAGGATGTGAATCTCTACCGAGTGCACAAAGTCGCAGCGATGAGCGCATGGACAAAGGTGTACGTTGTTAGACTCAGCAAGCTGCTGGGTGTGGTCAATCTTGAGTCGTCCCTGACCGTGCTGCGCACGGAAGACGACCCGGTGCTGCTGGCCCCGTAATATCAACAGTCAGTTAATGATAACGAGTGCTTTGAATTGAATGGAAGCTCTTTTAATATTCTATCAAAAATCACAACAATTTGACTTGATTACGAGAAGAATTCGCTCCGTAATCAAAGTATGATTATGGATATGACGTACAGTCAGTTCGCATAACACCACCCTCTCTAAATGTGTAAATACCAAAAGCTGATGCGAAACGACAAACCTTGTCAGAATGCATTAGGAAGTGAAATTCTCTGAACGTCGTCCTACACTTAGATAGACGGCTAGTCAAGAGATGTGCCAAGGGATGACAAGTAGAAACTAGTTTAGCATATACGAGAGATTAAGCTTCTAGCTTCATTAATAGTCAAATCATCAGCCGTCCTAAGTCTCAGTAGGTGGATCAGACCTTCTCTTAAAAGTGTATGCGGTGAAGACTTTTAATTTTATTCTGTGTTGCTCTCAGACGTGCAACAAAATTCGCTGATGGTTCAAAGCTGATGCGCGAATAAAAAAGGAGCTAAAGTCATCTCACCTGTTAGTTGTTAGTTGACACTGTGAAGCGCCGCCATCAGGACATTGAAATCCATATGGGATGGTGTCATACGACTAAGTGCACTGCACTATGACTCATCACTATTGCATTAAGGCATGCTAGACTGGTGCATTGATGACAAAATCTACAAAGTACGTTACGACGTCTACGCGTCGAGCTCATCTAGAGAGTCCATCGCATCATTTTCCAGCGCAATAAAAGTCTCCTTTAACTGTCGTCTGCTTTCTCGCCGACATCCGCCTACTTCGAAATCAAAGCAATTGACAAATCCGTGCTTTAGAAACCGCTGACGATGCTACAACTTTTGTGTAGCGTGTTTGTGACGGAATCGAGCTGCAATACAAACCAAATTTAAGTCACAATTATAGACCCAACATTTGGATAAACTCTGCTGGCTTAACAACGCAAGCCGCTAATCGTCGTGTTGTGTTTGTGTACACTTTTAGACATAAGATTATTGAAAACAAAGTTAGAACTCTTGGCTTTTGTCGTCAAAACGACAATGCAGAAATTATCTCTGAGGAGATTCAAAGATTACGTCCCAACTTTACAACAACGTGTTGTTACCCAAAGGCTTGAAGATATCACATACCGATTGCACGAATATTCGGTCTGTATGTAGGGACATACGATTAACTTGTTGAACGGTTATGATTGATTACTCAGGACATAGGCTTGACATGACAAGATTACGGTCAACGATTACGGACGCACTCATCGAATGCGATAACCACGTCATCGCAATGTCATTTACTAAGAGTATGTCATGTATCACTCTTAGGTGTTCAGAACTGACTTTCTGATGTTTATCAAATTGTTGTCGCTGTAAATTCTTTTCCCGCAATGTCCCTCATTCGAGGAACAATCACTTTGGACCCCAAGAATTTTGCCTGTAATCATTACAAAAGTATATTATGTAAACGGTAATCCGAGTCTTGGTCCAAGTATATATGCCCTTACAATAGTTTATAAGCAAACGTTATCTTAAGGCTTGATGTGAGGCAACACGTCGCGAATTATCATATAGAAAAGACTGCGTGGCTATGACTTGGTGTGATGCAGGCGCCACAAGACTGACGCTCGACAGCTTTTTTCGAATAGTCAAGAAGGTTTGATAGAGTAAATCATTGCTATTTTTCGAATAGTCAAGAAGGTTTGATAGAGTAAATCATTGCAAGGAATTCGTGTGCTCAAGGTGAATGAGTATAGACTCTTTAATAGACCGGAGGGGTTTTCAAAAATTAAAAAAGGCATTTGAACCTTAATCGATTAAAAGATGAGAAGAGATTCTCTTTGCTTCTCCCCTCACCTTTTTTTCTATGGTAAAAGGAATATAAGAAGAAATACCTCGTTGGACGCGCTAAGACTGCAACCAAGGTTCCATGCACGTTGTCCAGAAAAACGTTGAGCTTCGCGTTCACAAACGCATATAGATTGCACGGAACCGGGACCGGGATCCTCTCAAGTACCTTCGATTCAGTGTATATGTGGTTACAACCAACGCAATGAAGCACAGATATTACA